ATTTGTGCAGGGATAAAGCACAGAAGGCAGGAGTTCATAGGAAAGAAGGACACAGGGAAAACGTAACCATAGGGAGGAAGTGGGAAGAGACCTATTACATTGTGGGGATTACAATTACTGTCATGAAACAAAAAGTGTATGAACTGTTGAATGGAAAACGAATTTGCTCTGTAAACTTTCATCCAAATCATAATAACAAGCTAAAAAACAAAACCTCACAGCCAAAGTGTAACTTATTTTAATTAGATGCTAATCAACAGTTGTTGATTATAAAGATCAGTACCTGCTGCCAGTAACGAGCAACTTCAGGCAAATTCAGAGCCTCACAGAGATATACCAAATTCAGAACATCTTTTTGAAAGCAGCTCCCACCAAAACCTGAAGAAAGAAAAAGTTGACAATATTTTATTTAAGAATCGCACAACCAAATCATGTGATAAATTTATCATACTACATCAGCAGGTCTATGCTAGGATTTTTTTTTTTTTTTTTTAATTGTGATTTGGGTGAAGATTTACAGAACAAATTCACTTTCCATACAGCAGTTCACATATACTTTGTCTCATGTCATTGACCACAGTTTACCACAATGCAACAGCTCCCCTCCCACTTCCTCCCCATAGTTACCTCTTCCCAGTGTTCATCCCTTCATACACTCCTGTGAACTGAGCTGTCTCCTTGTGCATAAGCAGCCCTTCTTTCTCCCATGATTTTTCTCTCCAAAGCGTGTATCTACTTGAGGTAAATGTTCAACTCATATGCCTGTCTTTTGTTTGGCTGGAAACCACAGGTGTGGGTTCAGTTCCAGACCTGAAGGGCAGCTAGGGGCCATAGTCTCAGTGGTTCCACCAGGCTCTATCGGAACAGCAAACCTGGTCCCCACCTTTTTTTTTTTTCTCTCCAAATGATTTTGAGTTTTGTTCCACATTGTTCTCCCTCTCTATCAAGGATCTCCTACACAGATCCCCTTCCAAGTGGATGACAGTGGTAGCTGGGCACCATCTAGTTCTTCTGGTCTCATAGTTGTATAGGCTTCAGGTCGGATGGTGTACCAGTCTCTAGGGCTAATTGTTTCCATGAATTTTGGTTTTCTTCATTCTTCTTTGCTCTGGACGAGGAGAGACGCATCGTTGCATCTAGATGGCAGCTTGCTAGCTTTTAAGATCCCAGTTGCTACTCGCCAAAGTAGGAGGTGGAACAATGTATGCTAGGATTTTTAATAATAAAATTCAGATGTTAGAAAACTAGGGGGTTTATAAATTGTGTGAAATTTGTAGGAAATTAGTCAACTCTATAAGTCATTTCCAAGTCATTTTCCAGCTAAAGTTTTATGACTACATTTGACTTTTTAGTTTTTTTGTCTTTTATCTTCTATTTTTTTTCTAATTCATCTGGTATCATTGTCCCAAATCTCTTACTCTAAGAGAGGGGTCAACAAATTTTTACAGTATAGTCTGGTGATAAATATTTTAACCACTGTGGGTTACATATAGTCTCTGTTGCAACTATTCAACTCTGCCCTAGTAGCTCAAAAGCAACCATAGGCAATATGTAATAAAATAGGTATGGCTGTGCTTCAATAAAATTTTAGTTACAAAAACAAAGCATGGGCCAGATTTGGCCTGACTGCCACAGTTTGCCCACCCCTGCTCTAATGCAATACAGAATATACAGTGAGGGCTGGCATGGACTTTGGAATCAGAAATGTTTGGCCACTCACCAGTCACATGACTGTAAGTTGCAAACATTTCTGAGTCTCAATCACCTCCAAAAAGGAAATACCAGCACCATTCTAACAAGTTTTAAGGGTTAAATGAGATATAAAATGCTGGTACAAACATGTCACATAATATGCCTTCCTTCAGTAAAGAGTAGCCAGAAAAAAACATCAGAAAGAAAAATGAGTAAAAGCCAGGGAACCAGTAGTGTGAGATGACATGTTGTTGTTAGGTGCTGGGGAGTTGGTTCCAACTCATAGTAACCCAGTACAGAATAGAACGAAACACTGCCCAGTCCTGCACCTTCCTTACAACCGTGGCTATGTTTGAGCCCTTTGTTGCATCCACTGTGTCAATCCCTCTCATTGAGCGTCTTTCTCTTTTCGCTGACCCTCCACTTTTCCAAGCTTGATGTCCTTCCTAGGGGCTGGTTCCTCCTGACAATATGTTCAAAGTACATGAGATGAAGTCTTGCCATCCTCACTTCTAAGGCACATCCTGGCTACACATCTTCCAGGACACATTTGTTCATTCTTCTGGCAGTCCCTGATGTATTCACTATTCTTTCCCAACACCATAATTCAAAGGTATCAATTCTTCTTCAGTGTTCCTTATTCCTTGTTCAGCTTTTGCACATATATGAGGCATTTGAAAATATCATGACCTGGGTCAGATGTATCACAAGCCTCAAGGTTAGGATTTTGCTTTTTAATACTTTAAAACATCAAAGATGGCATAGAGCCCCAGAAATATTGGAAGGACTGCCTAAAGCCCAATCTGTAAAAGACTCTGTTCACCCTTACACTAACATTATTAGCTCACATTCATTTCACATGGTCACATTTCCTAAGCATATTACTAAGAATAGCCAACAAAAGGAAATTGTGGTGATTAAGTTTATGCATCAAGTTGGCTGGGCCTGGTTGAGTGGCTGAGCAGCTGGATGTAGTTATTCCC